TCAATATAGCCAAGTTGTCAGTTCTTCCAACACTGATCTGTAGATTCAATGAAATTCCAATTTAAATCTCAACAAATTATTTGTTGACACCAAAAAACTGATTCTAAAGTGTATGTGGAGATCAAAGGATTTAAAATAGCCAACCAAATACTGAAGAACAAGGTTGGAGGACTGACACTTCCCAACTTCAAAAATTACTATCATGTTACAGTAATCAAGACAGTGTGATACTGGCAAAATAACAGATTTTTAGATCAATTTGAAAAGAAAAAAAAAAACAGGGAATCCGCCCTGGCCGGTTTGGCTCAGCGGTTAAAGTGTTGGCAGACCAGAGAGTCCTGGGTTCGGTTCCCGCTAAGGGCACATACCTCGGTTGCGGTTTGTCTCCGGCCCCAGTTGGGGTTGTGTGAGTGGCAGCCATTCAGTGTGTCTCTCTCACATTGACGTTTCTCTTTCTCTCTTCCTCCCTCTCTCCTTCTGCTCTATCTCAAGATAAATGCAAAAAAAAAAAAAAAAGTCCTCGAGTGAGGATAAAAAAAAAATATTTGAAAAAAACAGGGAATCCAAAAACAGACCCACGTAAATTTAGTCATCTGATCTCTGACAAACAAGCATACACAAGCGTAGGCAATCCGATGGAACAAAAATTGTTTTTTCAATAAATGGTGTTGGATATCCATATTTACGAAAAAAATAATAAAGGACCTAGATACAGACCTTGCCTTCTTTACAAAAATTAACTCAAAATGGATCACAGACGCAAATGTAAAGGCAAAGTCATAAAACACTAGAAGATAACACTGGAAATCTAGATGACCTTGGAGAGCATGATAACTTTTTAGATAAAATACCAAAGGTACAGTCCATGAAAGAACAAATTGATAAGCTAGACTTTATTAAAATTAAATTTTATGCTCTGTGAAGACAATGTTGAGAGAATAAGAAGATAAACCACAGAATGAAAGAAAATATTTGCAAAAGACATCTGATAAAGGACTATTGTCTAAAACATCCAAAGAACTCTTAAAACTCAACATTAAAAAAAGACCAACAGACACCTCACCAAAGAAGATATACAGATGGCAAATAAGCATATGAAGAGATGCTCTACATCATATTTCACTAGGAAAGTGCAAATTTAAGCAACAATAGGATACCACTACACACCTATTAGAATGGCTAAAATCTGGAATCCTGACAACATCAAATGCGGACAAGGACTTGGGACCATAGGAACTCTCATTGCTGGTGAGAAGACAGTTTGGTGGTCTCTTACAAATCTAAACATATTCTACCATATGATCCGGCAATTGGGCTTCTTGCTATTCACCCAAAGGAATCGACAACTTATGTCTACACAAAGACCTGCACATGGATGTTTGTAGCAGCTTTATGAATAATTGCTAAAACTTGAAAGTAACCAAAATGTTTTTCCGGAGGTGAATGTATAAATAAACCGTGATACATCCAGACAATGGTATTTTATTCAGTGCCAAAAGGAAAGGAACTAGAAAGCCATGAAAGACTTGGAGGCAATTTAAATGCATATCACTCTGTGAAAGAAAGCGATGCAGAATGGCTATGTCCTGTATCATTCCACCTACTGACATTCTGGGAAAGGCAAAACCTGGTGGCAACCACTGGCCTTTTGCTGTCTCCATAGGGATAAATAGGTGGAGCAGAGAGTATTTTTAGGGCAGTGAAAATACTCTGTATGACACTATAATGATAGATACATGTCATTATACATTTGTCCACACCCATAGAAGGTTAGCACCAAGAACAAAACATAATGTAAACTATAGAGTTTTTTTTTTTTTTATCCTCACCCGAGGACATTTTTTCATTTTTTGTACAGATAGAGTGGGAGAGAGAGAGAGGAAGAGAGAGAGAGAGAGAGAGAGACATTGATGTGAAAGGGACAAATCAAGTGTCTGCCACCCGCACAACCAACCAGGGCCAGGGACAAACTGCAACCAAGGTACATGCCCTTAGCGGGAACCGAACCCGGGTCTCTCTGGACTGCAGGCTGATGCTCTAACTGCTGAGCCAAACTGGCCAGGGCAAAACTATAGACTTTTTATGATATGTGTATCAATGTAGGTTCACCAGTTGTAACAAATGTACCACTCTGGTTGGTGATGTTGATATTGGGGAGGCTGTGCATGTGTGGGGTATTGGGTATACGGAAACTCTCTGTACTGTAACCTCAATTTTGCTACAAATTTTTAAGTGCTCTAAAAAAATAAAGTTAATAAAAAAATAATAAATAAAAGAATAAACTATACAGTAAAAATAAGCTACCCGTAGCAAGGTGAGAGGAAAGAATGAATAAAAGCTAGACTTCTTTAGACCTCCTTTTTTAGATTTGGTGCTAGAACCAGGTAAATATCTTACATAATTATAAAATAATGTTATAGTTTAAAAAGCAATCTTTTATTGGCTGCACCAGTGCAGACTGGTGCAGCCACTGTGGAAAACAATATGGTGTTACCTCAAAAAGTTAAAAGTTGAACTGTCATTGGACCCAGTGATTCCACTTCTATGAATATACCCTAAGAATCCTGAAACACCAATCAGAAAGAATATATGTATCCCCCATGTTCATAGCAGCACTATTTGCAATAGTTAAGATCTGGAAACAGCCCAAATGTCCATTGGTAGACAAATGAATAAAAAAGCTGTGGTACATATACACAGTGGAGTACTATGCAGCTGTAAGAAAGAAAGATCTCTTATCCTTTGGGACGACATGGAGGGAACTGGAAAGCATTATCCTAAGTGAAACAAGCCAAGCAGAGAAAGACAAATATCACATGATCTTACTTATTTATGGAATATAATGAACAAAACAAGCTGATGAACAAAATAGACCCAGAGACATAGAAGTAGGGTACAGACTGACAAACCTCAGAAGAAGGGGTCGGTGGGGAGGGAAGAGATAAACCACAGAACTTATATGCATGTATGTGTAACCATGGACATAGACAACAATGCTGGGGATGGGGTGGGGGGGGGTTGGTATCGGGAGGAGGGTGTCAATGGGGGAAAAAGGAGAAACATCTGTAACAAAAATAAATTAATAAAAAAATTAAAAATTAAAAAAAATAAAAGCAATCCTTTTTTTAAAACAATGTAAAATTAATTAAGTACACCTGTGTATCCTATGGATCACAAAATTACAGAAGAGAAGTATTCCAAGTGCCTTTAAATCTGTGATTTAACTCAACATCCCTAGTGGGATCTACTCTGATCTTAACCTGTTTTCAGTAATTATAGTGTCGGTTGCAGTGTTGTAATTGTGATTCTGAGATTGTTGTGTGTAATTATGGGATGAATTGAAAAAATATTTATGTTGGTATCATTAAGAGCTAAGATTTTTCAGTGCTTTTGAAGGAAAACATAGCTACAAGATCAATGTGCTTAAGTAAAAAGAAACAAAAACAAACAAACAAAAAAGCTATAGACCTGAATTGCATAGAAAGTATCACTACAAACTTATGATGAATTTTATCTTAACATTTTTTTCTAGTTCTGCCCACTGAAATAGCCTAGAAATAATGACTAACCCCAAAACAATGAGCCCCCTTAGCACCCAGATTGTGGTTCTAATAATACGTTCTTACCCAAAAGAACCAGATTTCAAGTTTGGCTCAGAAAGTGTGTAACATAAATCTAAAATAGCTTTTTATACTGCAAGTCAAAGAAGCGTCAAAGATTACCACCATGTTCAGTTAAAAATGAAGGACTCGGCAAGTCCCTCCAGCGGAAAAAATTGGATACATGTGGCATCAGTCAGCATAATGGCAATGAGTCAAAACACACCCAGTATGCCTAAATCCAGGAGCTCACAACAGCACTTCAAAAGACACGATTAAGAACTTTTGCACTATGCTAGAGGAAAGCTATTGCTGTGAAAACCTGGAAGAAAAGGGGAAGAATTAAGCACTTGCCATTCCTTTCTCATAAGATACATACCTCGGGGTCAGCAAACAGTCCATCAGGGAACGTTTCTGTTATCGAGGTACATTAGGTAATACGCAAAGAAGGAATGATGCAATCAGAATGTGACTAGGTTGCAATATGTGATTAGTTTATGAATCTAATAGGAAATAGCTATGAGTGATTAAAAACATGGACAAAAAATTATATAGTATCTATTTCCTGATAGAAGGACCCAGTACCACACCTGAGTAGTATTGCCAAAAACAAAACACACACAAAATACCTAACCTGAATCTGACCGAGCCTGTGTACCAAGCCACTGATTTATAGGAAATAGAAAGAGGAAGAAACATGTTACATGACACGCAGGAACGCATTCAGTAAAATCCAGACACAGGTCATTTCTATAGGATAAATGACTTGCAACAGAATAAAATACAAAAAAAGTTATTGAGCAACATATCGATCGATTATAATGTGTGAATTATTTACGTAGTCATTCAAACAAACTTGAAACAATTAAAAGACAATAAGGAGATGTAAACAGTGATTGGAAATTTGTGATATTAAGAAATGATTATGATGATTTGACAATATGATAATATGATAATTCCATGGAAGGCATTTTTGAAGACATCCTTATCTTTTAAAGGTTCATATTAAAATATTTATTTTTGATATTAAAAAAATGATAGTGCTAGGTATATCTATTTCTAGGTCAGAGAGTTATTTTCTCAGTTCTAAAAAATACTTTAAACAGTATTTTCTTCAGTGAATGTTGAATGACCTATTACCATTAATAGCTAGCTTTTTTATATGTGTGTGGAAGGCTAATTGTATCATGAAACCTTACATTCCAAGGAACATTTTATTTTCAACTCATCATGTTAGTAAGAGAATCTGCATAATACAGACCTTACAAGCCTGGAAAAAAGATGTATAATAAACATCATGTATAACATCCTCATTATGTTTAGAAAACTCGAAATTTTCCTTATAATAATGATAATTCAAAGGGATTTGGAAACCATTTCCATTTCCCTGGTTGGACTTACCTGTCTCCCATTTGCAAGTAAACTTCCTTTCCTGCATATTTTCATTGGCCCAATGAGCCCCGTGAATATATCTTTGGTGGGGTCCACAGCAGAATAATACATCTTAGCCAGACACACAGGGTCTTTGTAAGTGGGTCCCACTCCTTCAGGGACAGTCCACTCATAGGTGAATGTTTCCTCGGGTGCCACATGGGAGGCGGAAGGAGGAGGCACACCTGTGAGGAAGGTCACACGGGTGAGGTGAAGTGTACTTCCCGACAGGGCGGTCTGAGCCACAGAGTAGACTGGGTTAGCCTAGGATCACCCACTCTGAGACCCGTGCGACTGAGAGTGGAATCCTGCTTCTGCTTCCGTGTCAGGTCACTGATGGCTGCGATTTTCTCCAGAAGGCTCCTCCAAACTTCATCTGAGATTAGTGCCTGCTACCCCCAGAATGCTTGCATTGCCCCCCAAATTCACACACTGGAGTCCTAACGCCCACTGTGGAGGTGTTAGGAGGTAAGGCCTTTGGGAGGTGACTGGGTCATGACAGTGCAGCCCCCCCGAAGGGGATCAGTGCCCCTGTACAGCGGGACCCATGGAGCTCCCCAGCCTTTCACCAGGTGAGGGCACAGTGAGAAGCCTGAGGCCTGGCAGAGGCCTCGTCTAGCCACGCCCTGATCTCGGACTTCCACCTCCAGAACTGGGGGACACATTTTTCTTGCTATGAACCACCCCGCCTGAGGCCTTTGCTTCCACCAGCCTGGGACAGGGCTCCTCAGAACGTCTCTAGCACCTTTCGCGTTATATCGCGTGTGTCTCCCAGCCCAGCCAAACAGAGCGTGACCTCCCTGAGGGCAAGCATTGGCCTCTATTTCTATCAGCTAGAACAACACCTGGAAATCGGGGTAGGCAACGGATTTCCTACTGAACAGAGCTGAACTGATAATAAGCTTATAGCGGAGGGTTTGTTGATGATCCTGTTCAACTCTCCCAGTTTTGCACCGGAGGAAACTGAGTCAAGGAAGACGGAATAGCTTGCCCGTGTGGGCAAGCAGAGCTACTAGTCTTCACTGGTCAGCGCTGACATATAAAAATACCTAGATATATCCATGTGATGGAATACTTTGTATCATTAACATTATATTTATAAAATGCTTGTAATGCTCAGACAACAAACTCTGGGTATAAAATTATAATGGTAAGTATTTTTGTAGATTACAAGCTCAACCACATTTAAAATATATACTGTATATACACGGATGAAAGAGTAGAGGAATTATATTAAAATATAGTGGTGGTTGTCTGTAGAACAATGGATACTATTTGGGGATTTTTCAAATATTCTAAAATGAGCATCTAAAACCACAGAACTTATATGCATGTATGCGTAACCAATGGACATAGACAACAATGCTGGGGACAGGGCAGGAGGGGGGATGATTGGGAGGTGGGTGTCAATGGGGGGAAAATGAGAAACATCTGTAACAAAAATAAATTTTTTTTTTCTTTTTATCCTCACCCGAGGATATTTTTCCATTTTTCGTACAGATAGAGTGGGAGGGAGAGAGAGAGAGAAACATCGATGTGAAGGAACACATCGAGAGGCTGCCACCCGCACGACCAACCAGGGCCGGGGACAAACTGCAACCGAAGTACGTGCCCTTAGCGGGAACCGAACCCGGGTCTCTCCGGACCGCAGGCTGACGCTCTAACCGCTGAACCAAACTGGCCAGGGCTGTAACAAAAATAAATTTTAAAAAAAATGAGCATCTTGTAATGAGCATCATTACAAGAACATTTTTAAAATTTAAAAATCATCCACATAGTACTCCAGAAATGTGTAATTGCGGTAAGTTAAACTGCCAGCATTGTCGATAATCATCCAGTCAAGGGTGACAAAGTTCCTTCCCCCAACTGGAATGGCCGGAGGAGAGGCACCCGTTCCCGAGGTGTCTGAGCAGTGTCTCCGAGGCCGGCCTCAGTCCGCGGCCGCTTTCCCGAGCTGAGCTGCGCCGGCGGCTGCTGGACGGCGCCCGCGGTAACCGAGCCCTGTACTCACTTGCCCTCGGGGGGCTGGAGCGGGAGGCGTAGTGTGCGCCCTCGTTGCTCTTGCTGACGCTCACCCCGACTGGCTCGATGCTGAGGGGATACGCTCCTTTGTTACGGAAGGTGACTCTGACGGTGTCTCCCACCTCGGCCCAAATGACAGGACCTGGGGACAAAGAGAAGTATTATACTCCCCTGGCGGGTAACCTACAGAATGGTCAAGACTGTCAGTGTCTTCGGCTTTTCCGCCAACCAGAACCACACCGTGAGCATCGGGCTTCCCTGCAGCGCATAGAAAGCTTGGTCTTGAAAAGCCCATTATCAGTCTGACACGGTGAGATCGGAGAGAGATGAGCAGGGGTTTTTGATTCCGTTTCAGGTTAACGAAAATGTTTATCCGAGTCAGTCCACAAGCTTTATACACCTGTAAAGACTGTTCAGCGTGGATGCGCTCAGCCCAGTCTTCCGTTGGCTACATGTGTGTAATGTATCAAGTCGGGGGGTGTCTACTACCCCTGAGCGCGCCGAGGGGGTAAATTCAATCACCTTGGACGTGAAGACTAACACAGCGATGACTTTTCCATCACCAAAATTCATTTTGTCACCAAATATAGAATACACCAAAGTACACAAAGGTTTTATGTAACATGTAAAACTCTGTTCATGTAGAGCTTCCTCTGTGCTTTCTGCGTGTTTTTGTGAATGAACTCAATCCTCACAAGCATCATGCGGTAAGAACTGCTGTCGTTACTATTGTTCCCATGATACAGAAGGGAACAGGCACAGAGCACTGAGCACCCTCAAAGGCCACACAGCTAACAGGTGAAGGGCGAGCGGAGTCTGAACCCCCCACTCTGCTCTTCGACCCCAGTGACTGAGCGAGGACAGGTGTTTGGGCTCCGCCGGAGGGCAGCCTACGGAAGCTCCAAGACAAACCCAGCCCATCTCGTTAGTAGTCTGGAGTTGCTTTCTTTTTAAAAGAAATTTTTTCCCCTTGTATTGATTATAGAGAGAGAGGAAGCGGGAGGGAGAGAGAGAGAGAAACATCAATGAGAGAGAACATTGATTGGCCACCTCCTGCATGCCCCCCACTGGAGATTGGGCCCACAACCTGGGCATGTGCCCTGACCAGGAATCTAACTGGAGACCTCTTGGTGCAGGATCGACGCTCAACCACTGAGCCACACTGGCTGGACTGGAGTTTATTTTTAAGGGAATGTACCTCTGGCAAAGAGCAGGGGCTAATAGCTTATCTGTTTGGCACCTAAACACACAATTATTATTTTTTGTTGCTGTTAATCCTCATCCAGTGATATTTTCCCATTAATTTTTAGATGGAGTGGAAGGAGGAGAGGGAGAAAAAAAGAGAGAGAAAAAAACGTCCATGTGAGAGAGACACATGGATTGGTTGCCTCCCGCATGACCCCAGCCAGGGCCAGGGATTGAACCTGCAACCAGGTACGTGCCCTTGACCTTGACCGGGAGTTGAACCTGTGACCCTTCGGTCCATAGGGCTGATGCTCTAACCGCTGAGCCAAACCGGCCAGGGCTCAGCACACGGTTCTTGAAGAAAACACCACACCAGCGGTAACTTCCATTTGGAAAGGTAATAATAGCCGCTGTGTTTTGCTGGTGACGCGTTTCCATCCCTAGTGTCCCGTTCTTCCTGAGGCTGCGGTACCCTGGGGGGAGACACAGGGCGTTTGTGCTGTGCAGGGACTCACCCAGGATGCCAAGATGTTCCTCCTCGGGGCCTCTCTCCTTCCGATGTGTGAAGGAGGCGTCAGTGTATTCACGATAAACCAGCTTCTTGTAAGAGCCTCCAATTCTTGTGGGACCGTGTTCGAAAAACACCTGCGAGGCACTGCGAGAAGGAAGGCGGTCAGTGCTGGCGCAGGTGCAGGCGCAGGTGCTCGCTGGCCGCAGCGTCGTGACCAGCGCTTGGAGGTGATGACCTCCCGGGTGGACCAAGTGCTCAGACGGAAGCAGACTAGGCCACCTCACAGAAGGATGTGCAGCTAAGGCATAGACCACCATGGCAAAGAAGTTTCACTTTGTCTTTTTTTTTGTACACCCGAGGATACTTTTCCATTTTTTGTACAGATAGAGTGGGAGGGAGAGAGAGGAAGGGAGAGAGAGAAACATCGATGTGAAGGGACACATCGAGTGGCTGCCACCCGCACGACCAACCAGGGCCGGGGACAAACGGCAACCGAGGTACATGCCCTTAGCGGGAACCGAACCCGGGTCTCTCCGGACCGCAGGCCGACGCTCTAACCGCTGAGCCAAACTGGCCAGGGCTCACTTTGTCTTTTTAAAATATATTTTTTATTGATTTTTAGAGAGAGAGGAAGGGAAAGGGAGAGAGTGGTAGAAACATCAATGAGAGAGACACATGGATCGGCCGCCTCCTGCACGGCCCCCACTGGGGATCAGGCCCACAACCTGGGCATGTGCCCTGACCGGGAATCCGACCGGCGACCTCTTGGTGCAGGGTCGACGCCCAACCACTGAGCCACTCCAGCCGGGCAGAAGTTCCACTTTTTCAAGTGAAGTAAAGCAAATTCCAAGAGGGCCCATGTCAACTCCTGATGGTTAATAAATTGTTCGAAAATTAAAGTTTCAAACAGATTTTGGAATGTTTAAAAATATGGTCGCTGCTGCTTATTGCATACCAACCAGGTGCTCAGGAGCTTCTAGGTGTTATTGAAACTCACATGGGAAGGCAACAAAGTTCTTAATATTCTTCCTATTTTGCCAATGAAGAATTCTATCCCAGAAAGACATTGACTTCACAAAACCTCCCCTTTCATTTGACAAATGCATTAAACAGCTGCTGCTTGCCAGGAACCCCTCGCTGCACTGATGACGTAACCGTGAGCAAGCTGGACCCGTCTCTGTCCACAGGAGCCTGGCATGTCCCCCCTTGATGGCAGTGTAGCATGCTGGGCAGGGCAGAGGAGTGGGCGGGTGGATGGGAAGGACTAGTTCAGGGTTCAGCACTCCACCCCGGTGGGAAAGCTTTGGAAGATGGAAGCATTCAGGATCCACAGGGTCCCTAGGGATTGAGCAGGGTCGCTTGGCTGCTGCCTGGATAATGTGTTGGACTGTGCTAGACAGACACAGGGAGACCCGCAGGAGGCAGCTTCAAAACCTCAGCGAGGGGGAGTGATGACTTCAGAGGTCTTGGCAAAGAGGATGGCGAGAAATAGACAGCTTTCAGAGATACTTAGGATGTAAGAGCCAGTACGTGATGGGAGAAGAGGGGTTAGCCAAGGAGGGAGGGGTCGAGGATGGTGTTCAGGTTTGGGGCTGGATGGATGGATGGTGATACTATTCATGGAGAGAGGGCAACTCAGATCTGTGGGGAAGATACTGAGTTCAGGTTTGGACATATTGATCTGGAGAAGCCTCATCCACGTGGGGTGTCCATTAAGCAGTTTGAAATGCAAACCTGCCCTTTATAAGAGCCTTCTGGGCCAGAGATGCGGTTTTGAGAGTCAGTGAATCTGGACATTGGCGTAGCCTGGTCTTAAATTTCTGCTTCAGAAGTCTCAGCCTGGGTAGAGCTAGGCCCAGCTATTGACTTGTGTGTTGCGGCGTAAATTATTTAACCATTCTAAGTAGTTGAATGGCAAACAAGGCTTCTCAGGAGGGGTGGTGTTTGAGGAGACTTGAAGCGAGAGGGGCCTCTCGGTGATGTCTGAGAGTTCACAGTGGACCCTGGGAAAGACGGGCTGGTGGAAGTCATCAGATGTGCCCAAAAGACACAACAAAGAGAGTGACAAGAAAACCCACAGAATGGGAGAAAATATTTGCAAAGCACATATCTGTAAAGGACGAATATCCGAAATATCTAAAGAACTATAATTCAACAGAAGCAACAACAAAACAACTCAATTAAAAATACGAGCAATGGACTTGAATAGACATAGCTCCAAATGATCGACAAGCATATGCAAAGATGTTCAACACCACTAATCATAAGAGAAATGCAAGTCAAAACCACACAAGATCCTTCTTTTTTTATAGACATGGAAGCATAGAACAGACTGACGGATCTCAGAGGGAAGGAAGGATGGGAACAGACTAGCCAAAGAACTTTTATGCATATATGCATAACCCATGGACACAGACCATAGTGTGGGGAAGGTGGGGGCGGGTGTCGGAGTGGGGTCGAGGGGGTCAATGGGGGGAAAAGTATCTGTAATACTTCCAACAATAAAAATAAATTTAAAAAATATTTTAAAGCAAAACAAATAAAACAAAAGAAAACCATCATGAGATACCACTTCGCACCCAAAAGGATAACTAATTACAACAAAGCAAAACATGGAAAATAAATATTGGCAAAGGTGTGGAGCAATGGGAAACCTTTTATGTTGCTGGTGGAAATGTAAAATGTTGTAGCTGCTATGCAAAAAAGTATGGCATTTTCTGAAAACTTAAAAATAGAATTACCAAAGGACAGTAACTTCACTTTCAGGTAGTATCCAAATGGGTGGAAAGCAGGAACTTAAACAGATACATGTATTACAATGTTCTTAGCAGCATTATTCACACAAGGCACAACAAACAACCCGATTGTTCATCAACAGGGAGATGAATCAATAAAATGTGGTACATGTAGACAATGGAGTACTATTCAGCCGTCAAGAGGAATGAAGTTTTGATACATGCTAACACATGGATGAACCTTGTCAACATTATGCTAAGTGAGATAAGCGAGACCAAAAAGGACAAATATGGTATAATTTCACTTGTATGATGTGCCTAAGATAGGTAAATTCATAAAGACAAAAAAGTAGAGTAGAAGTATTAGGGGTTAGGGAGTTATTGTTTAATGGGTACAGGGTTTCTACTCTGAATGAGAAGTTTCCGGAAATGGGTAGTGACTGTATTTAATGCTGCTGGATTGTACAATGTTATGCTGTCAGAAATGGAAAACAAATGAATTGATCTGTCTAACAGTATTGAGTGTTTTTCAGAAGTTTGCCAAGCATTTGATACCTTTTAGACCCATCTTTTTTCATGCACACAAAAGACTCAAAAGTCATAGTTCTCAAACTGGACTCATCCCAAATACCTTAATAAATATTGAGTAGTTTAGTTACTCAATTTCAGGTACCAATTAAAACTTTAATTGCCAAATGAACATGTTATGCCTTCTTTTTTTTTTTTTTTTTTTTAAGGGGGAAGCATGTTTCAAAATACTAGTCTTTTTCCGAATTACCTTCCAGGTGCTGTTAAGTTTTCCTTGGTGAAGGTGTCTAGGCCGGAGGGTGCGTAGTTCCAGATGACTTCCTCAGCAGCAATGTAGTAGTGTCTGACATGCTCCCCCTGGGCTCTGTCCTTTGCCACGCTCTTGCTACAGTCTTGCACCTGGAAAAAGGCCTGCAGACCAGCTGAAAAACACAGGAAAAGGTGTGTTCATGGTGCCAGCGATGCTCTCTCCTGCTGCCTTGGAAGCCTACTGGTGAAACGGATGGGAATTGAAGAAACAGAGGGCTGCAAACAATAGCATAAGCTAGAGCAAACATAGATATAGCTCCAAATGATCGACAAGCATATGCAAAGATGCTTAGAAATAAATGACCACTGATGGAAAGCCAAGCAGTTTTTGTAAACGCTTCATACAACATACAGAAGACATATTAATCAGTAGTGTTTTCAAATATATGGTACTCGTTTCTGAGGGCTTTCACGTGGGGGGTCTTCCGATGAGAAAGAAGATACATTGAGAGATCAGTGAAGAAGAGAGACTCTGCCATATGTGAAGCGGAGGGTGGGCTAGCGGAGGTGGGACAGAACGCACACCTGTAGTTACTGTTCTCTCACAGACGGGTTGCGCACCTGCTGTGCCAAGCCTTCTGCGGCCAAGGTCACACTTGACAGGTGAGATTGTGTTTGAAGGTCAAGGTAACATCCCCAAAGATCCAGATTAAACCTCACTTCTTCAGGAAACCAATATTACAGACTAGTATTTTTCAAAAACTAGGAACGTTTCATCACATTATATGAAAAAGATGGAGAAGGGATTTATCAAGTTAAACCAAGGAATAGCTGGACTCAAATAATAAACGAAGTTGGCTGTATTTGATAGAACCAACTCAAGAAACCAGGCTATTTTGCAGCATAATGTACAAATATTATGGTGTTTACCATATTGTGTATTTTTCAAAGCTGGGCAACTATAGACAGTACTATATTTTAGGTCAGTACTATATTTTCAGGGCCAATTATTATTTTCCAAAAATTAATGTGTTTTCAGATTTCATTACTTTATAAATGTTCCAGGCTTTCAGTCTTTTTTATTACGTTATGATGCATACATACCATCATAGGAATACAATTAAGTTACCCCTTCCAAGTTCCTATCATTCTAAAGATATTTAGCTTATAGTTTCTGCTTCCTAATTTTGACCCCGTCAGTAGTGTACCTGAGACATGACTTTCCTTTTGAGCTGACAGCTAACTTCAGGTAACGATGTCCTACCTTTCAGATGGTTTAGATTCTGACAGCTAACCAGCCATTCTCCAGGGTTCTGGGCCACCATGAGAGCGTCAACAAGGGTAGCGGGGAAGAGGTTGATGGTATCAACACGGTAGTTCTTGTGAGTCAACGTTTGGCCATGGAAGTAGGCTGCGTGCACATCAACTTCATTCCCCATACCAAAAAGGTACCATTTCACTCTGTCCTCTGCACACATAGAGAGTCCTGGGAGGCTTCCAAACGCATATCCGTTTACAGCTGTAAGTCAAGAGCAGAGATTGACACTAAGAGCGGTTGGTGCCTGGTTTAGTGATGGTGACCTCTACAGAAATACATCAATTTGGGACAGGAAATACCTGACCCATATCCTGCTGTTCCTCCCTCCCGCATGCCCACCTCAGACATTACTCATCAATCACAGCATTCTTTCATTTGGGACCCAAATTCGGCCCCACTCTTCTTGTCGACACAGATGAACACAATGCTGAAGATGAAACCTGCTTGCTCTTTTGGTTATAAATTAGACACTTTGGTATGTATGTGTGTTATTTTTAAATACAAATGTGTTCATATATGCAACACACACACACACACACACACACACACATACAGAGTGAATAAGAAAAGACTGATGGTTATGTAGTCATTGATCATTAATGATGGTGGTGGTGGTAGTATGGATGACTTCTCTTTGCTCATCAGAACTTTTCCACTTTTCTACAGTAAATATAAAGTGCTCTTATAATAACAACACAAGGAAGAAGTTCTGTTTGTTTGTTTTTTTGAAGATTGGAAGACAAAATTAGGAAAGTTTTGGAGAAGGAAAGAAGAAATACAGGGGAAGGACAGTGACCAGACACAAAGACCCGAGAGTTCAGAAGCAGAATGTCCTGAGACTCTGCTCAAGTTGGGTGGTCCTAGAGGTAAATGGAAGCTGGGTCTGGGAAGCACCACGAAGTCACCTGATGTGACCAAGGTACAAACCAGACCTCTCCAGGCTAGAATTTTATGGATCTTTATCAAATATCTGTTTTTGTTGACACACAAAAAACAGAATTAAAGTATGGAAAGAGGGCCCGGCCGGTGTGGCTCAGTGTTTGAGCATTGACCCATGCACCAAAAGGTCACTGGTTTGATTCCTGGTCAGGGCACATGCCCAGGTTGTGGGCCAAATCCTCAGTGTGTGTGTGTGTGTGGGGGGGGGCAGGGGGCATGTAGGAGGCGGCCAATCGATGTTCTGTCTCATCGATGTTTCTCTCTCTAAAAATCAATAAAGAAAAAGAAAAAAGAATAAAAAAATTAAAAAGTATGGAAAGAGGATCTTCCAGCCAGAAAAAGCAGAAGTCGGAAACAAAAAGCTGTACTTTCTTAATAAGTTTAGCTTTCTGTGTTGATAGGGTGATCATTTTTGTATTTTCAGTTTCCTTGTAAAGGTTATTTTGAAGAAGCTAAAAACAAGCAAACAAAAATCAAAACTCATTGGTCCAGCTGGTGTTAAGGGATTTGATTTCTTATGCCAATGATAGAAAATCTTGCCGAGCTCATTATTTGGTCTGCGAAAATGAACAAGAAGCCTAGGCAGTAAAGAAAACATTTCTAGAAGAAATACAGTGAACCGAAATATAGGAAAAATGACGCAGAGTGGGGAGGGACGATGTAAGTGCAGAAGAAATACGTTTTGGACCTATTTTCCTAAATACAATTCAATGCCTTACAACATAAGCCTAATTTTAAGCATTTAGTTTAATCGTTTTAGGCTGCCTCAATGATTTTTAGAAGGAGTTTGGAGGATAAACATAGAAATACAATATGCATATGTTTTCATCCATAATTGATGATATTTTCTCCCTGGAGGTTTGAGTACAATCTGTCTTCACCTCTCTTAGAGTTTTGGATTGACCTTTTTAGCTGACTAGGAAGTTTCATGTCCAATATGTTTTGCTAGCAGAGCCGCAGGTTAGAAACGACTTACTCATACGAGGGAAGGAAGCTAGCAGAATTAATCAATCAAGAGCAATATGATCAAGTTAGCATGTCAGTTCGTAATCTTACAATACATTCGGTTACTCTCCTGGAAGTCCTCGTTCTCCTTGTCAACTTTCTCTGGTTCGAAGCAGTAGGAGTTAATGTTGTCATCTAAGTACCAGCTGAAATTTTCATCCACCACCGAAAACATCACCACAAATTCTTGGTCGATATCTTTTTCTTTGTCTTTTTCATCCAGAGAATCTGAAGTGAAAATTGCTATTTTAGTGGGACTTAATCTTAAGCATGTGTTTTAACATGTAATTTATAGTTTTAACATTTTTTTTCTAATTTATTTTCCTAATACTCTACAAATCTGGACTAGCGACTCCTGTTTTACAGAGTTGGAAATACTTAGGACAGTTGATGTTCAGTGTCCTGGGCTCGGTAGGGACTCAGATATCTGCATGTTCACGAACCACATAACTATTCAATGCTCTTTGGCAAATGTAAATTCAGAGTTATGTACCCATCGACTGGTTCATGCAGCCACAGGCTGAGACAAGTCTTTGAAGGTGACTGATGCTGGCTGAAGTCAGAGTTAGATCTCAAGCTCTTGACCTATGTTGACTTTTCTGTGATGTTAGAAATAGATACTACAATATCGTATTTACAAAACCGGTAACTACAGATCTGTCACCGTGGAGTGCCACTAAGGGAAGAACATTTGGTCAAGTCATCCATGTCTTCAACACCATTGCGAAGTCAGAGTCAACAGGCCTGTCCCCAAGGAGAACACTTTTCCTGGAGCTCAGCAATGTGCAATGAATGCCTGGAACCCTTGCTCCTTCCCCTCCCCTCTCTTCCCTCCGTTTTTTCCTACACTCACTGTCTCTCTACGGTCCGTGCTCAATCCCAGCGCAGAAGAACTTGCCTCATACTATTTAAAAAACCAACCGCCTTCCTGTCTCTTGTCGTTTGGCCCTATGTTCTGAGCGAGAGTGAGACCATGTACCTTTTTTGCAGAATATTAAAGGTCCGATGAGTCCCGAGGCAATGTCTCTTGGAGCATCAATGTGGGAGTGGTAGATTCTGGTCACACAGTTGCTGTCCTCCTCAGCAGGACTCTGTCCTTCGGTCGCGTGCAGTATGTACGTGTACTGCTCGCCTGGGTTCACTTTGTCATCTGCTTTGTGGAGATCTGTGGTGTTATCAGGGTAGATGGCCCCTAGGAAGAAACATGGCAATGACGTTGCAAATGGAATGTGGTTGAACTTAAATGAGAGAATAGATGTTTACTAATTGATTCAACAAACGTTTATTCAACCTCGAGAATGTGCTGCGATGTCCTATTTGAACACAGAGGAGTGAGGGGCCAGAGTGTATGAGAGCTTCACCGAGAATGTTACTATTTTTTTTGTACTCGACTGAGTCTTCAGGGAGCAGGGATGGCTATGTCGGGGCTTAGGGCCCTGCTTGGGTCACGGTATGGAAGCATGAACAGAACGGAGAGCCCCTCCTAGAATATGAAGCTTTTTTGTTTTTTGTTTTTTTTTTATCCTCACCCGAGGACATTTTTTGATATTTTGTTCAGATAGAGTGGGAGGGGGAGAGAGAGAGAGAGAGAGAAACATCGATGTGAAAGGGACACATCGAGTGGTCGCCACCCACACGACCCAACCAGGGCCGGGGACAAACTGCTACCGAGGTACATGCCCTTAGCGGGAACCGAACCCGGGTCTCTCCAGACTGCGGGCCGACGCTCTAACCGCTGAGCCAAACTGGCCAGGGCATATGAAGCTTTTCGTATGCTGTCAGATTTTTGCCTGTGAAGTCACCATCGGATATTTTTCTTCTTCTTCTTCTTTTTTTTTTTTTTTACCATCAGATTTTTAAAATTATTTTACTTTTAATTTTGTAGATTTCCAAATATAAGTACAGGTTGAGAGAATATGATGGACCTCCAAGTACTCATCAACCCAGCTTTAGCAACGGTCAGCTCAAGGCCAGTGTTTTTTCATTTATACACCCACCCACTTTTATCTCCATCTCTACCTTTTCACGTTAGAGCAAATCCCAGACATCGCATCGTTTCATTCATAAATGCTCAAGTATGTATAGCTAAAAGATCAGAACTCTTTTTTGAACATAGCCACAATATAATACCTTAAAACAATTAATATACTAATATACCATAAAACTGTAAAAAAGAAATAAAATTGTAGTCAGGCTTTATGCTATGAATATATTTGTTGGGTTCAGAAAAAGAAACAAATACGTGATTAAAACATTCACCTTCTAAAGCAATACCTCTTTTTAAAAAAGACTAGTAATTCATCACATCTAATTCTTATCTTAATTTTCAGACTTGATCCTTACAATTTCAATGAACTGTATAATGGCTTCAGCATTTTTGCTCTTGATCATAGCTGACATTTATTGAGATATTACTAGGTACACTATTGTCCCTATTTTATACTTGAGGAAATTGAAGCACAGAAAAGTTAAGTAATTCGCCCAAGGTCATTCAGTCAGTAAAAGACAAGGTTGTGTTTGAACCTTTGGGTTTGAAGCCCTTGTTCTTAACCACAACAAAAAACCTACTTTTTTTTTATCATCATCATCATCATCATCATCACCAAGTACTAAGGATGCAATAACAGGCACCAAGCCTGAGGCTTCCAAGTCCTACATTTAAACAACCTTTTGGTGAATTTCGTCTCAGATGTGACTCCAGGGTCCTGCAGCCACAGGTGCCATTTGGCTGATGGATGAGAACACCCATGATGCCTCAGCTGTGAGAGTTTGTCCAAAGTTAGGATGGAGGGTGACAGTGGCCACCGTACAGTTATGTTTCCACAGACAAGAAAATCCCCGTCTTGAGACCTGTCCCTTCCTTCTGGATTTGTCCCTCTCCCAGGCCTGCATGCACACTGTTTACTCTTCTTATTCTGACTGTTCGACTGGAAAGAAGCTGGGCACTGGGAGGGACGTCGCAGCTCTCACTGCCTCGCACTGTGTCCACCCAGAAATCCCGTCACACTCATCCCTCACACAGACAGGCACACGCAGGGGAAGCACTGCATTCCTGCGATGAGCTGAAACCCTTACAAAGAAACAGTGTAAAGCGAAACGACAGTGACCGGTCTCATCTGGGAGTAGAGTTCACGGTCTTCGAGTTACCAAGTGTTCCCACTGAAGAGGGAGAGGAAGTCCCAGACAGAGGAGGGCTGGACTCACCCTCATGTTCCTTGTAGTAAGTTATCCCGTGTGAGTGGAAAGTGTAGGGCCTGGAGGCAAAGTTTTTTAAGTGAACATAAACCGTGTCTCCGGTTTCTGCTTTGATAACAGGGCCCAAAAACCCCAGCCACGCGGGTTTCTCTATCACCGTCCCGAAGGTCCCATCTGTGTACTGAAGATAAAGGGCCTTCATGTATGTCCTCCCAATTCTATCAGGGCCATCTTGAAGGTAGATGTTGGAATCTTCCCTGCAGGAGAAAAGAAGACAGTCACTCTATCATTGCCATCCTTTCTGGGGATAGCATGATAATGAAAGAGAAATTCACCACCGCATCACATTAGAAGTGTGCCTGTTGTCTTAGGGGTGCCTCCAAAGAGTGAAGAGGAGAGCTGGCACTGAGCATTGTTGCCTCCATTATGGCAGGGGCCCGACATCAGGTACGCAGCAGAGAACCACCTGGAAAGGTGCCATAAAAATATGACGCATTCCGCCCAGCTGGGGTGGCTCAGTGGTAGAGCGTCGACCCATGTACCAAGAGGTCACCAGTTCGATTCCCGGTCAGGGCACAGGCCCAGGTTGTGGGCCCCATCCTCAGTGGGGGGCGTGCAGGAGGCGGCCAGTCGATGTTCTCTCTCATCAATGTTTCTATCTCTCTCTCCCTCTTCCTTCTTCTCTCTCTAAAATCAATAAAGAAAAAATAAAAAATATAATGTATCTTACCAGAGTATTTCCCACAAGATTTTTATATTAGAACACAGAGGCATTATGGAATACAGTGTACAATTAAAATAAAATATAAAGATAGAGCAGTTAAGACATTTCTCACTTATGGTATACCTCTTTCAGCTACTGGAAAGTTTGAGTTTATAAGCAACCAATTTGGATATTTATTGTTTCCTAAATAAAGTGAACTTTGATGTTAAATTAATTCTATCATATTTATTTATTTTTTTAGTAGCACAAGGTTGGAATGGATGTGTGCATTGTGTATGGGTTTTAAAATTACCTTTGGATTCAAATTACCCTTGTGTTTTTTAATCCCTTGTTACTGAGAATTCTTGAATATTGAATGTTTATATTCTGATTAGTGGCTGATTAACAGTTCCTTAAAAATCACCTAAAAATATCAGCAAAGTAAATAGTAGCTTTGAAAAAAAAAAGAAAAGAAAGAAAGAAAGAGAGTTTGGTATTCAAACTTTGGAAATAATTCTTAAGTTATTATCCTTATCAGAAGCCTGGATAGCTCAGTGGGAGCTGTGGGCACTGCCATCTAGTGGTGGGAAGACCGACTTCAAACCGGACTTGGGCCTGCTCCCTGACAACTGAGCAACCAAGGTCTCCTCCAGGAGAATAAAAACTTCTCAAACTCAGGCTGACAATCTGGGGTTGGGGTTTGTGGTGTGTGCGTGTGTGTGAGTGTGTGGGTGGGTGTTGACTACCTTTGTCTCTGGGCCTTACCATTTTCCACTCAACGCCTGTGAGGCCCAAATAACCTGATCGAAGAATAAACATCATCTTGTTTCTGCAGCTGTGAGCTCATCGGAAAGAGTGAGAGATATTTTCCCTTCCTTTCTTCAGGACAAGAGTTCGGCTTGTCTGGGAGCTCTGGTCTTTCACTGCTGCAGAGTGTAAAGACCTAGTTTTTATAAAATGTAGGGCTCTAGCCTACATTTTCTTAAGTTGACTGTGCATAGGAATCTTCTGCATAGGGTTTGGATAAAATGCAAGTTCCCAGCCCCAACCCCATTGATTCTGCTTCTGTGCATCTGGGTGGGGTTCAGGCATCTTCATTTACTAAGAACCACTCTGTGTTCTGATGCTGCTCATTTAGTAGCTTGAGTCGGGGAGGCTCCAGGAGGAAAGTACAGCCTCCCCCCCCCCCCAATTGCAGAGATTGCAGAGGCGGTAGAATCCCCTCAGGTCCTGAGACAGAAAGGGGGCAGGGTCTGTCTGCAGACCACACCTGGTGGTGGCAGGCCCGGGTGCCGGAGCCAAGGAGCACGGCTGCCGGGCAGGGTCCTGCTACCTGAGTTTGAGCAGCAGGGGCAGGTGTTGGTACGGCCGAGCCATCGTGCTCTGGGCTGACCTAGGGCTTCGACAACGACCGTCTCCTAGTTGTTATCATGTAGCAAATACCCCAGTTTCTCTGGATCGTGTAAACCCCAGGATTCTCAAATTGTTCCCTTAAAAACTAATGAGATGGGGTCTCCGTCCCCCATCCTGGTGGGAGGAGGGTCAAGCAGGAAGTTAGAAAAATATAGTAACATTTTTAGTCCCCAGTCTGGGGAGGCAAATCCATGATTATGCCTTCATTTCTTCTATTTGTTTTCATTTTTAAATTGTCGGTTGCAGTTTCCATTTTTTTAGGACAAAACAAAAAAAATTCAGGAAGGCTCAGAGAGACTTCAAGGACACCAAAATGCATGGAAAAACAGCAGGACAGGGGTGTGAATCCCCCCCCCCCACCCCACTCCAAATGCAGCATTAGTAACAACGGTGTGGTCTCAATACATAGATGTTTTAGCAACAGCAGAATTCTGGGCACTGAAGACCCCGAGACACAAACAGATTCGTGCAGTCCACGCTGCTGATGGCTCAGAGGGAGTTCAGGTGTGGTCAGGCTCAGCTGCCGCTGCAAAGCTCACCGAGCAGAGACGCAAATCCTCTCTGTCGCCCCCAGAGGAACCCGGGCCATTCATTCCATCTCACAGGGTCCATCCAGTCCCCAGGGTAATTTACACACTCCTAATGCTAGGAGATCAGTCCCGGTTATAGATGACACTCTGATCTTTCTACTGTGCCCTGTTCATGCACATCTTACAGAGGCCAAAGTTTAAAAAGAGCTCAGTGTGGCTCGGTGGTTGAGCATCGACCCATGTACCAAGAGGTCATCGGTTTGATTCCCGGTGATGACACATGTCCAGGTTGTGGGTTTGATCCCCAGTGGGGGACAAGCTGGAGGCAGCCAATCGATGTTCTCTCTCATTGATGTTTCTCTCTCTCTCTCCCTCTCCTTTCCTCTCTCTCTAAAAAGTAAATCAATAAAGAAAAAAAAATCATAAGAGCTCTCAAATTCTTAAGACTTTATTTAAATAAAGTTGATAAAAGCTTTGAAAAAATGCCTTTATTGCTCTGAAATTCTCCATATTAATCATTTGCTCAAATAGGAGGAGCATTGCCGAAGCTTTGGCATTTGTTTCTGTATATCATGATTTGGGGGTGGGAGGGCCATGAAAATTACTTTTCAAATAGTTAATCTGAAGTTATAATATATTCAGGGTTTTGAGCAACTTCTTTTCTATACACAGTGATAGGCAAAATGTTTCACTTCTCGTTTTGTGGTGAAACAAAATTAAGTCAGCCAGATTGAGACATATTTTACATCATGTGATACTTTGGGGGAGGTGTATTTGCTGAAGTTCTGTCCCCAAGTGAAGATCAAAGTGTCATCAGGGACTGTCTATTTAATTACATGAGCACGGCCTGGGGACAAAAGGTCAGTTACTGGAAGCCTGCAGGAAGTTTGCCCATCAAATACTCCATCACAAGAATCTATTCTAGTTGTTCTTTGAACCAAAAAAATAATTCACATTAATTGCATTTCTTCCTGTTGACAATTGTCACATTCGGTCTCCTATTCGTTAGAGCAGCTATGACCCCCCCCCCCCCCCAGTAATCCCATCCTTCCTTTTTCATCCCCCAGTTCCTAAAATCCTTTAACCAACGTCCATAATTTCTGGTAGAGTCAGACCCAGAACTGAGTTTTTAATGCTAAGGGAATTAAATTTTTTTTCTTTATTGAAAGAGAGGGAGGGAGAGGGAGAGAGAGAGAAACATCGATGAGAGAGAACATTAATTGGCCGCCTCCTGCATGCCCCCACTGGGGATTGGGCCCACAACCTGGGCATGTGCCACCTCTTGGTGCATGGGTTGACACTCAACCATTGAGCCACACAAACCGGGCATGGTAGGGGAATTTTTAAAAATTATACTGCCTTGGTAAGATAATAAATTCGTAATGCAAGTGGTCTCGGTTTATACATGACTACTAAAAGGTGGGTTATATGTGTGAAAAGTTTCTGGGTTCTTGGCTTCATAAATTGAGACATAGCATAGGACTTTACTATTGGTGCATAACAACTTGTCACATAGCAGCTTAAAGCAACATCCATTTACTATTTCAGAGTCCTGTGGTCAGACATGGCATGGCACGACTGTGGTCTCTGCTCAGGTTGCCACAGGGCGCTGGCTGGGCTGCATGTTTGTCTGGGAGGCTCTGTGGAAAAACCCACTCCCAGGCTCATCCTTGCTGCGGGCACAATTCGCTTCCTTGTGTTCGTAGGACTGAAACCTCTGTTTCCTGGCTGGCTATCAGCTGAGCCCCTCCCTGTCCCTGCAGGCACCGCGATCCTCCTCAAGTGGCCCTTCTGTTTTCAAGTCAGCAACAGTTTGTTGAGTCCTCAACTCTCGTTGACTCTTTCTGACTTCCTCTTCCTCCCCCCGGAGAGTTCTCTGCTTTAGATGAGGTCCCCCTAGTTCACCCCCCTATTTGAAAGTCAGCTGTGCCATTGAATAGAACACAGACCGAGGGACTGACATCTCGTATGGTCGAGGTTTAGGAGAGGACACCTTCGGGGACACGCAGAGAGTCTGCCTACTTCACACGGGAATCACCAGGGGAACAGACTCACCCTGGGCGTACACAGCAAGTGCGGGTGGTTCTGCCCAGCCTGGCTTCACCAGCACAACAGGGAAACAGCAACCGTGGGCTTCAAAAGGGTAAGATGCTACAGCTGCTGAACTCGCTCCATCGCGCAGCTCGTCCTGTGCAGTGACTGACCTCACTAACTAGTGTTTGCTATTCTTTATTGGGCAACCTTGGGCTGTGAGTGATTATAACGGACTTTCCCAGAGTGTTTTAGCTACTAATTGTGCCTGTGTAATCATATTAAAACATTAAGACCATTTTTGAAGGGGTAAAGTGAATTATTTCAGTGAAAACTTTTTATTTAAAAATATTTTGTTTGTATGATCTCGCTTATTTGTGGAATATAATGAACATAACAGTGTTAGGAATGGGGTAGTCTCAGAGATGTGGAAGTGGGGTACAGACTGACAATCCCCAGAAGAGGGGGTGGTGGGGGAGAGATAAACCACAGAACTTGTATGCATGTGTGCATGAACAGTGGACATGGACAACAAAGCTGGGGACAGGGTGGGGAGGGTGGGGGAGGGGGGAATCAGTGTGGGAAAAAGTAGAAACATCCATAACAAAAATTAATTAATAAAAAAAATATATTTTGTTTGCCCAGCCTGTATGGCTCAGTGGTTGAGCATCGACCTATGCACCAAGAGGTTGCTGGTTCGATTCCCCGTCAGGGCACATGCCCAGGTTGTGGGCCAAATCCCCAGTGTGGGGCATGCAAGAGGCGGCCAGTCGATGTTCTCTCTCATTGATGTGTTTATCTCTCTCTCCCTCTTCCTTCCTCTCTTTCTTTCTTTCTTTTATTTTTTTTTATCCTCACCCGAGGACATTTTTTGATATTTTGTTCAGATAGAGTGGGAGGGAGAAAGAGAGAGAGAAACATCGACGTGAAAGGGACACACTGAGTAGTTGCCACCCGCACAGCCCAACCAGGGCCGGGGATAAACTGCAACCGAGGTACGTGCCCTTAGTGGGAACCGAACCCGGGTCTCTCTGGAGCGCAGGCCGACGCTCTAACCGCTGAGCCAAACCGGCCAGGGCCCTTCCTCTCTTTCTAAAGCTCAATAAGGGAAAAATTTTTTTAAAAAGAAAGAAAAAAAAATGTGAAAAAATATAAATAATTTAGGAGCAGAGAACTGTATTTTATAGAATCTTTAACTATTTATTAATTTGTTAAAGTGACAGGTAAGGCACTCACCTTAGAAAATGGCAGTCCCAAATATAAAACATTTACTTCCTATCTCATTCCATTAGAAATCAATTATTGGTATTACTGCAAGAGAGGTAAACTATTTTCCTAGTAAAAAAAAAAATCTATAATTTCTCTCTTTTAAAATCTGCTAATATTTTCAGTTTCACTAACTCTATGTATAACTCCATTAAGTGGCCTTTTTTTTTGTATCCTCACCAGGGGACATTTTTCCATTTTTTGTTCAGATAGAGTTGGAGGGAGAGAAATGAATAGAGAGAGAGAGAGAGAGAAATACCAATGTGAAAGGGACACATCGAGTGGCTGCCACCCGCACAACCCAACCAGGGCCGGGGACAAACTACAACCGAGGTACGTGCCCTCAGCGGGAACAGAACCCAGGTCTCCCTGGACCACAGGCCAATGCTCTAACCGCTGAGCCAAACTGGCCAGGGCTTAACCGGCCTTTTTTATTTCATTCTATAGTGTGCTTTATTCCACAGTGTGACTGTCTCCACTAGGAGCCAGTGAGAGACTTCACATCACAGCCTATCATTTCTTCTAGCTTCCTATATAGCTTTTATTCATTTATTTTTATTTATTCATAACTATTTTTTCAGTGTCTCCTATGCTCTAGGTACTACTGACCAAGCAGATGGACTTGCTATCATCTCAACAGGTATTCTCCTCTTCGTTGTCTCAGACCTTCAAGGTCAATGTCATCTTGCACTGAATGCTCTGCCAACACCTATCTTGTACACTTTCAACCTTGTTTCTCAGCCTTTCCATCTCCACTCCTCTTTGGCCTTCACACAAACAAGGAATGCCAATGACATCTGGTGATATCCCCCCATTATCCTTGCTGACAGTCTGGCTTGGTGTTATGGTCTGAATATTTATGTCCTCCTGACAATTCAGGTGTTGAAATCCTCCCCTTTGATGTGATGGAACTTTGGGAGGAGATGGGACCTCTGGGAGGTGCTTAGGCCGTAAGAATGGAGCCCCCATGAATGGGATAAGTACCTTCTAAAAGAAGCTGGAGAGACCCTTGCCTCTTGCACCACGGGACAACAGAGAGAAGGCTATCGGCCGGGAAGAGACTCTCACTAGCACAGGACCATGCTGGCACCTTGACCTGGGACTCCACAGACTCCAGAACAGTGAGAAACACATTTCTGTTGTTCTGTCGTTCAAGGCCAGTCAGTGGCATTCTGTCGGAGCAGCCTCAACGAAGACAGCGGGGCGTGCTGCCCATGCGAGACCAAGAAGGAAGCCAAGAGCCGCTACCGCAGCTCATTCATACAGAGTGCAGGCTGCTGTTGGCACCAGGGCTGAAGCTCCAGTTAATATTTACCATTCGGGGAATTTGTGACATGTTGCTGGCAGAGCAAACAGTGCCATCTAGAGCGTGCGTGACCCTAGCCTGCTGATGAAGCCCCAGGAGATGATTGAACCAATGTTGCATAACCTCTCGCGCACAGTGACGATGGAAGCAAAGATGCTCTTTTCCCAGGCTCCACCCCCAAGAAAACATTCTTAGCCAATTCCCTCTCTCTTCTTATTTTCTAGTTCTAGACTTAGAAACTTCTTTTTGGAAGCATGCTTGGGCAATCAATGTCTTGTACTTAGTTTATGCCCAATAAAGCTGATTACTTTTTTATCATGAATACTGCCTTTTCTTCTTTTAAGACTGTATCTGACTACTTTTAAAAATGTGCCACATTTAAAAATGTGGTTTCCCTATGAAAACGGCATAAAATTTACATTACATTTAATCAGGAGAAATACTACTGAATCTATACAAAATAATGGTGTTAGTAAAATCACAAAAATATGTCATACCCTTAAGAAAAGAATACTACCTCTAAACCAGGTTTAAAAAAATAATTGCAAGATCTATTATTTTTATTTACAATGAATTATTTTTAGGTCAGAAATGGTCCTTACCATATATTACCAAATTAATATTAAACAACAATTAGTATTAAAATCTATGCACTTATTTTTTAGTGTTAAAAATTTCCAACATATATAAAATGAATAGGAATAGGATATGCTCATCAACAGTCAACAATTATGAAATTTGACATACTTGTTTGGTTATTTTTAAAGATCTGATCTTATTTATCACCAGTAAAATACATTTCTAAATGTAGTGAACTTTCAATAAAAAGTTTCAATTTGGTGGTAAATGTTTATTAACATTATTAAAAGAGAGGACCTTAGCCCTGGTTGATGTGGCTCAGTTGGTTAGAGTGCTGTCCCGAGCATCAAAGAGTCTCAGGTTCGATTCCCTGTCAGGGCACATACCCAGGTTGTGGGTTCATTCCCCAGGAGGCAACTGCTTGAGTCTCTCTCTCTCATATTGATGTTTCTCTCTCTTCCCTGCCTCTAGAATCACTGAAAAACACATCCTCGGGTGAGGATTAAAAGAAGAGAGAGAGAACCTCAGCCTCGGTAAACGTCAAGGAGAACTATATTCTTGTTTTTGTGTGCGGCAGCTATTGGTGGAAAAAAGGGGGATTTCAGCTAAAGCACAAACACAGTTAAGTATGTAGAGTTTGGGGGGACATCATAATAGATATCTCACATTTTTTTGCACATGTATCATGTGCCAAGCACTGTATTAAGAGCTTTGTAAGTACCCAGTCTTCAAACAACCTTCATAGGCATTCTTATTGTCTCCATTCTGTACATTAGGATGCTGAAGCTGAGTGATCAGTACAGTTAACCAGCAAGCCGTAGTCAGGCATTGTTGTTAAACTTACATTAGATTTCTATAAATGATGTTTCAAAGGATGAAAAAATGTATGCAATAATCAATACATGGTATATAATAACATTGTAAACAGTCATTGTTTAAATTAATGAATGTCTGTATGAACAAGAGGACTTAATGAATGTCTGTATGAACAAGAGGACTCAACCCTCAGGGGAGATACAGTAACAACCTGCAGGTCACAAGAAGCCCACACAGTTCCTGGGACCAAAGGGGGTAGGAGTAGGGAGGTTCTAAACAAACAAAAAAAAACACCCGGGGAATTTAGAGGACATTTATTAAAGTGTCTAGGATTTCAAGTCCACATTTCTGCAGTTTCTGTATATAACAAATTAAATAAATATTTCATCTTATTGGCTTTATTGTTAAACTGATAATTTATAAATATGGTCTATAAGCAATAAAAATAGTGACTTACGTGTCAACCGAAATAAGTTTCTTTTCTCCATTGTCAGGGGCATAATTCCAAGTTGTTTCCACAATTCCAATGTAATAATGCTTCTCCTTTGCCCAGGCTGTAGCACTATACAAAAACAGAAAAATACCCAGCAACAGAGTCTGCATTTTCCCCTCTCAGCACAGGAGCAACGCAGTGAAATCAGGAGCAGGCAGTTTTATGACTAAGGCTTTCTTCCTTTATTTGCTTGATTGACACAATTTAACGTTGCATAAGAGTAAATTGTTTCGTTAAAGCAAGTAACATTTTCCTTCCACTTCAGTTCAGTTCTGGTAAACCCAGGAAAAAAAAAATCGTTTTCCTTTGCCAAGCTTCTCTGATTACAAATAAAAAGTCAACAGTGACTGCTGGGGGCCTAGAGAGTGTCTAAGCCCAGCTGCTGGCATCCGTTGTGTCCAGTCCAGAGGGGCAGACGTGGCCTCCCAATGCTGCTTTTGTCCCCCCAACAATGAACCACAATGTCCTGCGTACTGTGGACTTTCACTGAACCAGGATGAAAAGTATGCCAAGTGGATCAAAACCTGTGGCTCTTTCCTTCTGAAAAGCCTAACAATACTTGATTGCCACTTTTAAGATCCGGAACACGGTCTTCACCATGCCAAACCCAAGTACCTCAAACTAAAATTGTATTTGGAAGGATCTCTGTGTTTTGTAAGTCCTGAGCACATTTACATGGAACTGTGCAGATCGCTCTGCACTGCTGTGTGCACCCAGGAGCAGAGCACCCTGGAGGCTGATCATTCTGTGCTAACCACCCAAGGGATCAGGCATAAATCAACCTGGCTTCAAAGGGCAAAGGCGGGTCTTAGTAAATGCCGGGAGGGCTCTGTTCTTTAACCTGGGATTTCTGCCTTTGACACGGAAACATCAACTTCAGGGTAAAAGACTTTTTTAAGAAAAATATCCTGTCTTTGGTCATGACATATTTGTCCAAAAATATAAGGCAGTTTTTTTTTTCTTAGCTGAAGAGAATCCTGATGGTAGCAGCAGTGCACGTTTTGTGCTAATATAACCTTTGCCTCTAGAATTCCGCAATGGGTTCGTATTTGCGAAAAGTTGTGTAAAGAAATAGATCGGGAAAGCAGGAAGTGCCTGATGTTTGAACAGTTCATTCATTTAATAGAGTTACTGAGGGGTCCGACTGAGCCAGGGCCAGCTGCTGGACACTGGGGACAAAACAGTGAATGTCTACCCTCCTCAACTCCCACCGCACTTCAGAGAGAAGGACAATGTTCAGGTAGAGTGAAAGACCTGGTATCAGCAGCGAGGGCTACGGAGAAAAATAAATTGGGGAATAATGAAAACAACAGGGTGAAGATCAGACTCTGCTGGCACCACCGGACCTCAGGCGAGATGCTGAACCAGATGGTCAGTTTCCTCACCTGTAAAACCTCCTTCTCCGAGGCCTGTTGTACACGCTTGGAATGATCCCCGCCAAGGCACGTAATGGAGATTTCCTTTCTCCAGCTGGTAATGATTTTAACTAGCTGTCTGGTACGGGAAACTGAGACACAGTGCCACCCAGGATGTCCCAAGAACATGTTCTAGGGCCACCTTAAATGACTGTGCCCTCCTGCCCTGGCCGGTTTGGCTCAGCAATTAGAGTGTTGGCCCGAGGACAAATGAGTTGCAGGTTTGGTTTCGGTCAAGAGCATGTACCTCGGTTGTGATTTGTCCCCGGCCCTGGCTGGGGTCCTGCAGGAGGCAGCCACTTGATGTGTTCCTTTCACACAGGAACATTGATGTCTCTCTCTCTCTCTTCCTCTCCCTCCCTCCCGCTCTATCTGAACAAAAATAAAGAAATGTCCTGGGGTGAGGATAAAAAAAAAAAAAGACTGTGCCCTCCTGCCCACTGAAAGGACTTGAGTGGGACCAAAATCTTGCCCAGACTTCACTGGTCAAACTCTGTGCCTTGCAAGATGCTGTTTTGTTTTGTTTTTAAATATAGAATTGTAAGCCCAGCCAGTGTGGCCCAGTTGTTGAGCGTCGACCCTGCACCAAGAGGTTGCTGGTTCGATTCCCGGTCAGGGCACATGCCCAGGTTGTGGGCTCAATCCCTAGTGGGGGGCATGCAGGAGGCGGCCCATCGATGTCTCTCTCTCTCTTCCCTCTCCCTTCCTCTCTCTCTCAAAATCAGTGAAAAATATATTTAAAAATAAAATAAAAAATAGGTATAGACTTGTACACTTGACGCCTATGTGGTCGTATTAACCAATGTCACCCCAATACATTCACTAAAAATTTAAAAATTAAATAGATAAAAATCGGTCCACACAGACCGGGCATCTTTCAGCAGTTCGTTCTCCCAGAGTGAGGGGCACTGGCTCCTCAGGGGCACGGAGCCCTGTGTGAGCGGGTGACCGTCCGGGCACCACCTTCCCCTTCTCTGCTCCACGCTCGGTCCAGCCCTGGGGCGAGAGGATGGCGACAGAGCGGAGCACCAGCGACACCCTGAAGTCACTGCTCCCACACATCCTCCCCGGAAACTGCTCCGAGTGCTCCGCGGGCCCAGCACGCACGCCCGCAGCTCCACGCCCCTGGGGCTCGGGAGGCTCAGCAGGGCCCCCGCCCAGCGCAGGGAGCACTTGACGGCGAGATGCAGGAAGGGCCATAAAGTCCGATTTCCGCCCTGTCCTGTGACAGTCACCTGTCCTATTAAAAAGCATCCCAGAAAGTGGAGAGAATGTTCTGAGCCTCAGGCCAGGCTGAGTAAGCAAGACCCCTGGGGACTGGTAAGCAGCCAGCCCTGGGAGGAGTCTGTTAACACCACAAACCAGAGTTGGTAGGAAGAGTGAACTTCGAATAACGTTGCTGTTGAGAATTTCTGCATTCGAAACAGGGCGTCGCGACCGGCACAGGGGCAGGCGGCCGCCAGGAGCGGCTCAGCCCACTGGGACCACTGTCGTGCAGGAGAGGGAGCTCGGGGCACCAGCAGTCTGCGTTAGCGGGTCCGTCGGGTCTTCACCTCGGATCCCCGGCACATGGTGGTTTGTTACACATGACTGCTGTGTGCCTCCGTTAACTGTCTCGCCACCTGGGTTACATAGCACACGTTTTCATCCTGTCCCACAATTTCTTTCCTCGTCGTCTTAAAGAGTCCTGATCGGGGCGCGTCTTATCGGCATTTAGCAAGCAAGATGCTGGGGCTGGCCCGGGCTGGTGTGATCAGTGGTTAGAGCGTCGGCCTGTTCCCGGGAGGGACTCAGGTTTGACTTCCGGTCAGGGGCACATACCTGGGTTGCAGGTTGGATCCCAGCCCCAGATGGGGCGTGTGCAGCAGGTGCCTCTCTCATATCAATGTTTCTCTCTCTCTCTCCCTTCCACTTTCTCTAAAAAAAGATAGTCAACAAGCCCAGCTGGTGTGGCTCAGTGGTTGAGTGTCGACCCTGCACCAAGAGGTCACTGGCCCGATTCCCAGTCAGGACACATGCCCAGTTGTGGGCCAAATCCCCAGTGGGGGGCATGCAGGAGGTGGCCACTCGATGTTCTCTCTCATCGATGTTTCTATCTTTCCCTACCTCTCCCTTCCTCCCACTCTCAAATCAATAAAGAAAAAAAAAATCTTTAAAAAAAAAAATCAATGGAAAAAATGTCCTTGAGTGAGGATTAGCAACAACAACAAAAGATTCTGGGGCTGCTAATGGTTAGAGTCAAAGCAGCCATCATCCTTACAGAGCATCAGTTCAGCTTTCTGTCTGGCAAGAGGCAAACTACCTCCACCGTTCCCGCCTGCACCTGCCAGTTTCTTGTCCATCCGTGAGAACGGACCTTCAGCCTCTGCTCCAGGACAGCAGAATTACTGGGAAATAAACCACCAGGGACAGTCTTTCACTTTGCGACCGAGGGAGACACTAAGTATAAAATAGCAGGTCATTCTGTCCACGACCAGTCACACCACGACAGTGTTACCTTTTTCACAGAAAGTTGTTTCACTCTGGAAATTCAGGGGTCAGTGTGGTCATGTAGAGAACTTTGATAATGAGTCCACTGACTTGACCTCGCACCGGTCAGGTCATGATGATTTAGGGTAATGATGACTCAGATGGCCCCATCCCTGGGGCTGCCCATACGTGGGTCAAGGTCTTATCATCATTTCCCGGCATGCTGAAGGTCACAGGCGGAGGAAGGGAGGAAGGCCAGACTCTAATCCGGCAAAAGTCAGCCTTGACGGTGCTGGGAAAAGGGATTTTTTTTTTAATGGCATACGGATTCCAATTTCTCCTTCAAGCTTGTCTCACACAACATTGAATGAAGTGGACATCGAAGCTTATGCTTTACTAACAGTGAAACCGAATCACAACACTAGACTTATTTTTAGAAAAGATGAAAGCATAACTTATTCATGAGGTTTGACTACACAGAGCTTCAACGTGTGCCTTCTCGGAAGCACCTTTCTCCCTCGTCATTCCCAACTGCCCCCCTCTAGCCTCTGCACCCCTTCTGGGGTGCTACACTCTGCATGGCGCCGAGCACTTTGACTTGTGCCCCGGTCCTCTTGCAACCACGTTGTCTGACAAAGTCCGGATGTGGAGAAGCTTCGAGGGTGCATCTGCTAGGAGGAGGACGTGGCATGGGGTGGGATTAATCGGTACTACGTAGAATTATTATTCTACTATATGACTAACCTGGGAGTCACAAACAAGGTATCTGAAATCATGCCTCTTCGATTAAATTTGGAAGAAACCCCAGCTTCCCCTAAAACAGTCACCACTGCATGTCCAGACTGTCTTAACAATTCACTAATTCGATTAGGTAAAAATTTCCCCCGAAAGTCCCTAATAAACAACTCATGGATGAATTGTGACAAGTAGAACTAATGGAGGCACCTTATCCTCCTGTGCCTCCTCCCCAGATAGAAAGAGTATTTCAAGGGAATAAAAGAAAATTGTACCCACCTACCCACTGCTCAAGGTTTCCTTATATAGCTTATTGGATACAAGGAAAACTATGGTCCCACCTAGAGGGGCTAGAAGTATACAAAGGATTCCTGACCCTTCTTGCCCTTTACAGGAGCATATAGTGAAGATGGAATGAGAAGAGTTAACAAAGACGGACTCCACGTTCCTTACGCGAGCTTGCCTTCATGGAACGATCCGCACGCCAAGGTCCCCCTTGGTGTTTACGCACAAGGGAACAGAAGAAATCTCAATCATTGCAATTGAATAGGTTTTA